GCAGATTTAGTACACTACCAGCATTTATCGTTTTGTTCTTCTTTTAAAGGACTAACTTTTTTTATTTTTTGAAGTATTATTTTACAGGGTGGTCCGAACTGTATTCCGGAAACTTGAGCAGCATATTCTGCAGATAAAAATAAGTAAAAAAGTTTCTATAAATGTATGTCCTAAAATGCTTAGTTTCGGAGATACAGGGTGTAGAAGTTTCATTCTTATTTCGAATTTTTGAAGTAACGTTAATATTTCGATGAAAATTGGTGTCTGGTAGTTTACAGTACAATAATAGGTACATGAGAAATTTGATTTTGATGTCAATATTACTGCTACTTGTAGAGGGTGCCACCTATATATTTTTCGACTGGTTTGAACGAGTAATAACCTTTTGTCCGTACCTGTACAAAACTTCTGAGTAAAAGAATAGACATTTACGACTTTTTTACATAAAAGATGCCTCTTGGTAAAAATTGCTACGACTAATGGTTCTCGAGATATTTGGAATCGAAATTATCAATACCTGTCATCATTGACATAAATTAAACATGTTGACTAAATAGTTATTAGACTGAAATCATATTTAAAATGTTTTTATGCCAATGTTAGGTTATTGATTCGCAGAAAAATGTATGATTAATTTTAAAAAATAATAATTTCCTAAATTTATTATTTCTGTCATATATAACTATCTATTCAGCGTGTTTATTTTTTGTTAATAATGACATGTATTGACTACTTCCATTCTAAGGGCTCGAACACACTGACGGCCAGGTCGCACCGACCAGGCCACTGCTACCTCTAAAACCATTAAATCAAATGATACCGCGCACACTATCGTCCTGGCCGTCCGTTGATCGTTGCGGCCAATAGACTGCACTAAAATATTATAATTTTCTGCCGCTTGTTCGGCCTATTTGTTCTGCTTGATCGTGCGCGCTCGGTTCGTTCGGGCTAAAATGCCCAAGTCTGGACGCACCTTTAGGAACAATACTGTTTTTGTCCTTTATTGATATAATGCTGAAAATCTCACGAGTTACATGTCTCACTCTATGCATATTAAATTACATAGACGTAGGATGTAGAATATTCTGTTATGAAACGACTGATGGAATAGCAGGCATCGTGGATTTGATAAACATGGAAATAACAACGTTATCGTATAGTCGGGGTTGGAGATTTTATTTACTCCATTTACCACACCAGTATTTATTAACGAAAAATCCAAGAATATTTTAAATGCATTATTTAATATTAGAACATTTAATAAGCTCATGAATAACAACTTCGCTTTTTAGTTAACTCGGATATTTTAACATTTCTGAAACTTAATTCTTTCCGAAACAATATTTTCTAATTGGTAAAACGTAAAAAATCGTTAGATCTGACAACTCTGTTGAAACTGGTCGTTCATCTGGCCGCAGCTCTAAACGCAATACATCCGGCCAGCCTACGCGACGGCCAGGTCGTTGCGACCTGGTCGTCAGTGAGTTAGAGCCCTAAACTGTGGCCCTAAATATCTTGAGAACGGTTACTCGTAGCAATTTTTACCAAGAGACATTTTTTACGTAAAAAGTCACGGAAATGTATATTTTTTCACTCAGTAGTTTTATACAGGTACGGACGCAAAGTTATTACTCTTCAAAACAGTTAAAACACATGTAGGTGGCGCCCCTTAGAAATAAGTGTCGTAAACAATGTGTTGTCACCTGGTGCCCCAAAGTTGAAACCAGTAGAGGCTATTCCTCTTCTAGCCACTTGGGTCTACTACCAGCGTCTACCACAATGGATTTACTAACAGGGCATTGTAAGATTACTAGAGGCACCTAAAGCTAGGGTTGCCAAATGTCCTCTATTTGATCTCTCTGTCCTCTTTTCTCTCACGTATTGAAAAAGTCCTCTTTTTTACACGCCAAAGTCAAAATCTAAAAATATTTGTCTATCGCCATAATGCTTTAAAAAATTGTTACTCTGTGTCTTTCGCTACTATTTTATGTTTATTTACTGATAATTTTGAAAAAACATTTTTTTTTAAATGGTTTGTTTTATTTTAACAAATTTTGAGTACAAAAAAACAAAGTAAGGAAGACAATCAATCTCATACCGTTGGCATACATTTTTGGTAAACTAGACATTTAGGCCAGGTTTCAAAAAATGTTTCGCCTGTGCCTCTTTTTTACCCTCTCGTCTCCTATTTTTTATTTTGAATTTGGCAACCCTACCTAAAGCTGATGGGATTGACGGACAAGCCATGTGCAGATTGTTTCAATCTAAAGATGAAACGACAGAACATTTATGTCGGTGCGACAGCCTGACAAATATGCTGTTCTTTGTCCTTTGTACTAGGCAATGGTAATCCATTGACAAAGAACTATATGGAGGATTCAGTCTCAAGAACAATGAGAGAAATATTAGCATATTTTTATCTCTCCACAGATAGGTGCCTTCAACATATTTTTTTGAGAGATTAATACGATAAGGACATTTATCTTATCGCTAGCCTGAAAATTACATCAAATATTGCGTTAAAGATTACACGCTTTCAACTGCGTACAGTCTATGAATATCGTTATTATTGTTTTTGCAAAAAAAACAGAAAAGTTTGAATAATTTGAGTTTAAGTTAGTTTCCGTGAATTGATTTGATTATTGCTGTTTTTTAATGATGGATTTGAAAATAAACGTGTTCGGTAAGTCAAAATAGTATCTGTCTTATCTAAATAATCTTCAAGGACTTGATTAGGCTACATTAGAACATGCACGTATTTTTTGTCTAAAAATAAATTTCAGTTTGCTTAATTTCATTTTTTTTTTTTGTTTTTTTTTCTATTTCCTCTAATACTATGACATTGAATTTTAAAATTTTATTAATCATATTATGTATTACTTTTTATATATTTCTTGTATATCTCCTAAATTTTGCTTATTTTTTATTTTTTGATAAATGAATATCCTTTTTATAAACTTTTTAAAAAATAAGTAGTAGCATCATAGCATTCTTCTATTTACATGTTACATTGTTTTTATGCCTTGGATACCTTCGCTATACAGGGTGAGTCTTAAATAAGTGTAAATATTTTCAAGGCTGGCAGATCGCGATAAAAGAAACATATTTTCTCTGTTTTTCAAATAAGTCTAAAATAACCGATTTATTCAAGTTTGAAAATTAAAAGAAATTAATTTATTTTTCAAAAATGTTGAGAACCACTGGGTTTTTTTCTGTATTTACATCCCGTTTAGTGCTCTAACCATAGAGTAAACCCGTAACCATGGTAAGAAATTATACCGTGGGGAATTTGCGGTGTACAGGCAGTTCTAAAATATACAGGAAAATTTAAAAGAAAATGCACGATTTTCGACATCTTTTTTGCGACAAAAACGCATAGACGTGTAGAAAACGTATAGTCGAAATATACCACCCCTAAAATTATTTGCACTTATTTAAGTCTCACCCTGTATATACCTAGTAAGTTTGTCTATTTACTTATATTACTTGTCTAGGGACTGATCCAACACATCAACTAATATTGAATCAAAGTTTTTTTGTTAAATATAAAATGCTTTTAAATAATATAGATAAACATCTGTGGTACTAGGCAGAACGCGATATGTCAGTACATATAGGGCTTAGTACTTTTGCCTTAGAACCACAAAAATAAGACTATACATTTTATAAAAATTTGGTTGTTTTTAAGTATTTTATTTATCTTTATCCCTTTCCTGGTATCTAGAATATTTAATACTAAGTTTTGTATTATTTTTCTGTTTGTTTTGTATAAATGATTAATCAATCGCACACTACAATACATATATGTCAAGTGGGTAATTTAAATGCTATTATTTCAGTGTTCTGTTGTAATGAGTCAATTTATGAGAGCCCAGACAGATTCATCAGTTGTATTAATAGCGGCCGCATGTTTATTAAATTGTTTTAACAACAGAAGACGTGTTTTTTTAATATAGCACGCAATATTTTTAAAAGAGATTGAAAAATAGTAATGTTATTTTGTACATAACACTAAACAGAGCACTTAAAATTATTTTGAGATTTTTGGTTCTAACAAAAAAGCAAAAAAATGTTTCGAAATTAAAAATTTCTACTTTTTTGGGACAAATTTGTCAAAATTTATATCGAACTATTAGCTTTCTGGATTAAAGCTTCATTCAGAACCACGCAATTGGTGGAATAAATTAGTGGTTTCAATTACACTTTATACTTTTTGGTTTACGTTTATTATTTATGTTTAAAAAACACAATTAAAATTAATAAAATATCCTAGCAATAGTTAGTTATCTAACCACAATTTCTCTTGACGGAAGATGATAATGAAGATAATAATAAAGGCCAAAATGACAATTCTCTCAAATTTTAAAGTATAATTATTAGTGGAAAAGTTAAAGGTAAGTATCCTATTTTATAGGGTTTGTTTCTCTCTACAATTTCCTGTTTCACAATGTACCGTTTGTGTCCGGGAAGGGTTCATAGTTTCACAGTTGTCGATTTTCGAAAAAAATCAGTACATGTATTATTTCCTATATTTTTCATTTTATTGATTTTATGGAAAGCACTGTTCATTAAAATGTTGTATCCTATGTTATAGGGCTTGTTTCTCTCTACAATTTCCTGTCTCACAATGTACCGTTTGTGTCTGGGAAGGGATCATAGTTTCATAGTTATCGATTTTCGAAAGAAATCAGTACATGGATATTATTTCGTATATTTTTCATTTTATTGATTTTATGGAAAGCACTGTTCATTAAAATGTTGTATCCTATGTTATAGGGCTTGTTTCTCTCTACAATTTCCTGGTTCACAATGTACCGTTTGTGTCCGGGAAGGGTTCATGACGTTCTGAATACTACATTGAAATTAAAGGAACAAACTTCTACGCTAATTATTACCACTAATTTATTCCACTAATTGCGAGGTTCTGAATGAAGCTTAAAGTCTGCTATATATGTAAAATGTTATCATACTTAAATATAACTTCTTTTTTATTGTTCCAGATCCAAGATTTCCCATTGACGGTGCAGTACAACTTCACTTTTCCTCCGGACCGGATGCCAGGTATCCAGTACCGGCACCAACACCCGCAGTACCGTACATCAGTTTGAACGATGACCCAGTGATAAGAACGGATAGTCCGTTTACTTTGGAGGAGTACGATGAAGAAGACGATTCTGATTCCGGTGAGTTTGATAATCTATAATCATTAGAATTAGATCTTAGACTAATCACACTTGATAACCGTCAGTAATACCATCCATCCAAGTAAAAATAAATAAAGACAATGGAAATCGGTAATTCTTTTAGTTTCAATTTTGAATCATTATCTACCACATCCAAAGAAACGATAGATCTTATTCTTCAGCCTTCTACATTATTTACAATTACCATTTCAATACAAGGCTACAAAATTGTTCTCCCCTTTTGAAATAAACTTTTATTGAATTATTAAAATACCACCAACCAACGAAGATTGAATAAATTATGGAAAATACAGGTCTCTGTAACATTTCGATGTAGAATTTATCTATCAAGCCTTGTTATCTTGATTTCCAGCGCTGTAACGTATCAGTTTCTAACTGATCTAGAGGATAAAATGAAGCAATTACTGGTAATAAGCGCCGCCAGTGGTTTATGTGATTCGTAGTTCTCGTATTGTTGCTGCGGGGACATGAAAAGCCGACAAGAACCGGGATTGGGACCAATTAATGGTGTAGAAAAAAAGAAAATCGCTGTTACCTAAGCAGCAATTTATAGTTGCGATATACCTATTATTTACAATTTAGTTGTTTACTTCTGGGGTGTTTTTATCGTGCTCGTTGCGTTTATCTTAATGTTCTTTTTTATGATTCTTGTAGCTGTAGGTAATTGTTTTCATACGTTAGGTTTTTCTTATTTAAGAGAACCGATATTTTCACGTTTAACCTTTGTTTCATGTGCTTTGATAAGCAAAGACAGAAAGACAGTTAAATCTGTAGTGGGTCTACTAAGAGGGTATTGTGCATTGTGAGCTTAATAGATAAACTGATGCGATTACTTATTTTGCACTACTCATGGAGCCATGCTATAGAAACTCTCGCCAATATATACAAAGAAGCCAAAGCAAAGAGTAGGTAGATTAGGTTAGGTTGCTGGGGTTTGGGATCATATTTGATCCCTCACTCGGAGGCCTTGGGCCCATTGCGATACCCCTGTATTGTTTTACCAAACCTTCCTCTCATTCTTTCTTTGCGTTAAAGCACTTCCAGCTCTTTGCAAAGTTCCCGATGTCGCTGATGTTGGCTTCAGCTGCTTCCTCTAGTCCCTCCAAAAAACCTTACCCTAAAGTTTTAAAGCGTCGGTATTCCAGTGCCGGACAGTGGCACAGCAGGTGCTCTATGGTTTCTTCTTCCTCTCCACATTCTCTTCAGTAGTCGTCGTCGGAAATTTTCCATCTCACGAGGTTTACCCCCGTTTCGGTCCCCACCGGGACAGTTTCAAGTGACGACACCTACAATTATGCGTACTAGGTCCTTTTTGTGCTCTAGTATTTGTTTTGTCTTTTTGCTATCTACCACTGGCCATAGTCTTCAAGCTGTAGCGCAGTCCTCACTGTTCCTATAGCCTCCTTCAGTGTATTGATCGTCACAAGTGGTGAGTCATCTGCCACGGCCTCTCCTCTGGCTCCGTCTTTGGCGAGTCTGCTTCCTGATTGCCCACCACATTGGTGTGGCCTGGCACCCAGCACAGAGTAGCCCCGCCCCGACGCAGCCAGGATAGTGCTTCTCGGCATTCCATCACAGTTTTCGATCTCACTGATTAAAGCAAAGAGTAATTAGGAACTTCAGAGTTCCCATCTGGTAAAGGAGTACGTTACAGAGACGCGATATCCCCAAATCTGTTTACAGCAGCACTAGAAGAAATCTTCCGTCAACTGGACTGGACCAACAAAGGATTAAAAATATATGTAGAAAATATCTTAAACACCTCAGACTCGCTGATGACATAGAGTCCTAATTGCCAATAGTCCTAAAGAACTACAAGTACAAATTAATGAACTAAATACAGCCAGTAGGTCTCAAAATGAATTTAGCAAAAACTAAAGTAATATTCAACGAACTAGTAGACAGAAAAGACATTCTAATAAATAACACAACACTGGAAATACTAGAAGAATATATATGTTTGGAACAACTAATACACAGCTCGGGATCTCTACAAGCAGAAATTGACAGAAGAATTAAGTTAGCATGTAGTACTTATGGAAGAAAACTAATCACATTTAAATCTAGAATGCCACTTTATCTAAAGAAGAAAACATTCGACCAATGTATACTAACAATCATGACCTATGCATATGAAACCTGGATACTTAAAACCGACATTATAAGGAAACTGCAAGTCGTACAATACTCAAAACCAAGAAAGACTGTAAAATAATAGAGTGGGTATAATAAAAAAAAACCCAGGTAATAGATGTCATCCACAGAATCAAATCCATCAAGTAGCAATGGGCATCTGGCAAGAAGGACGGATAATATATGGAGCACAAAAATTACAGCATGGCACCCACGAGGAACTAAGAGACCTAGAAGAAGGCCAAACCTGAGATGGGACCATGATATTAAGAAATTAGCAGGGATAACTGGAGCCCGCAAAGCCAACAATAGACAACAATGGGCCCAAATACAAAGAGAGTATCTAAGTATGTGAGGGAGGCCACACCATAATTGGAAATGGTTGAATAAGCTGAAAATGATGATATCTCATATTATTGTATAAAAATTATAGGTATTTTTGCACACCTTGTTATTTTCTAGTTTTTATCAGTGGAAATTTAGAGAGATGAGATAAAAATCCTCTCATTTCTTTTCATCTGAAGTCTCCTCTCATCAAAATCAATATAATTTTTGACGGTATTGAGGAACAAGCTCTTATACCACACAAATCTTTCAGATAAACACGAGAAAGTACCCTCTCAACTGCGGTATTCGGTGATTACAGACCCGAGAACACCTGTTCGACATCACTAACAGTTTCCTTTAACCCGCAATGATCGAGTAATGATGGTCAATCAGACCGAAATACCCTTCGGTCCGGCTGTTTCTCAATCTCTTTCTCTTCCCACTATGGCATCTGCACGCCACGCCACGCCGCGCCAACAAAAGTCGTGCACGCTGATTTTTTGCCACACACGCTCATCGATGCCGGCTGGTTTATGACCTGCAGTCTCGTTGCGTGTGTAACAAATTTATTTCCGATGATTTGTGTCTGTGGGGCATTCGACTGGCGATGTTTACGGTCAGTTCGATATGTCTAAACGAATTGACAGCGCGGACAGTGGACGAAAAAATGGTTATACAGGGTGGCGCCTTTTGTAACGCGAAGGCGCTAAGGAGAATAACAGTTTTGTAATGAGATAAAATGTTCTTTGTAATAACCCTATATATTAATGAATTTTAGAATTTTAGGAAAAAAAATAAAAGTAAGTTTTATTAGAGAAACATATATATAGTCTGTCCAACGAGAAGATCCTTGACAGTGATAGATGTGTCTGTCATTTTAAATTCAAAGTAGTTTATTTTATTTTACAAAGAAATAAGTTGGTACAACTGGAACGCATAGCAGCAAATAGCAGGAAATTAATATATTTAAAATGTAACTGATAAGGACAAGTGATTACTTCAAAATAGGTATTGTGAAAAAAACTGTATAAAACTGAAAAAATGTAATCGAGATATTTTATTTAATAACAAACGGTATGTGTTAATACAAAACAAACAAGAACAAGACGCCACATACAAAAAAAATATAAAAAAGAACTGTTTCTTACTTTCAAGCTTTATGAAACTTCCCGCATTTATGATTATATTTATCAATATAACTTATGTACAAATACAAACTTGTAATATTCCGCAGGAATAAATAAAACAACATAAATAAACAAACTATTTTATTAATAATAACATTTACTAAATTTTATACCTTAAAGGTTAATTAATTAACTTTAATCTTATTTTTTTTAAACCAGTAGGTACCTTTTGACATTATTTTTCTCTGCAGTACTAAAATCCATTATTTATCTATCGTGTGATGTCGATATAGCTACTCCAGTTTTTAGTACGTGTTTAGTATGGTCCTTCTACCATATTCCAGATGCACTTATCTACGACGAGATGGTATACGAACTTTATTGGTGTATAAGACTTTCTGCCTGGGCAGCGAGTATTAACCATAAACTGTGCTCTGGGCAAAGTTCTGGGTCTACAGTTAATTTTCACTCGATTTTTCCTCCACTTGATTTCAAAAGACACAAAACACACGTAATAACACGAATCAAAATGCATCATCTTCCAAAACGCAGTATTTGACTAAAAGTTGACAAAAAATTCTAACCTATAATTTGGCAAGACTTTGACAAACGTCAAAAATCTAAAGGCGAGTTCATACGCATCGGCGTCCGTTTGTCGTTTATCGTTCCGTCAAACCAATAAAATTGAAATACGATCTGTCATTTTTGAAATAAACCAATAAAACTGGTTAAAAACAACAAGAGACGACGCATGACGGATTTATAATTAAACTCATCCATAGTTAACTTAAAAATTATTAGAAACTTTTTTTAGTTAAATAAATAGATTGGTATGGGACGTCATCTGCTTTTCTTCTGTCATCGTCTGTCGAAATCTTACCTGAGAAAAAAAAACAGAGTATACCACTAAAATGTACGGATTTTGATATAAACTAATCCAAACGAATTAAGCTTGATTTTCATCCATCCGTTGTCCGACGATACGTTGATACGATATTAATTTTATTGGTTAAATTTAAAGGCTTCGATTGGTTAACCGTTTCTAACCAATCGAAGTCTTTAAATTCAACCAATGAAATTAATATCGTATCATCGTATCGCGGACAACGGATGCATGAAAATCAAGCTTTAGGGATCACACACAGGGTCACTTTTATGTATGGAAATGGTCGATTATTAGGTAAAATATAGGAGGTACCGCAAAAAGTTAAACATAAAAGTTATAGGGTTTATAAATATCTATTAGCGGGTAATAAATTTAAGTATACAGGGTCGGTCATAAAGACGTGGCATATCAAAGTTCCATTTTTTAAATAGAACCCCCTGTATATTACTGCATATTTCGGTTCTTCCTTCAATTCTAGACAAATTCAAAATCAAAGCAACCGTTTC